TGCGCGCATAATTGCACAGTTCTACAATGCGATAGGCAGGAAACGACGACCGGCAGACAAACGAAATCGGACGGGGTTACGAGTGGAAACGCTTGGGACCACCGTTCCATCTTATGGGATAGAGGTCCGTATCCGAGAGGAGGATGATTCATGTAGTCGACTTTTGTTCAGTGGACATTAACATTACCCGAAATATGTCTAATTAAATGCAAGACAGCTTGGGTCTGTTAACATAGCTGATTGGAAAGGTGGCGTTCACCGGGAGAGGTGAATTTGAGGTCTGGCATTCCGGGTAGTCGTTTCTTCTACCCATCTTCAGAGACTGAGAAGTCATGCACACAGCTTTCCTTTTATGGCGCACTTTATTTAACGCAGCCAAAGAAGCGGAATGAAGAACCTAGTCAGCCAAAATCGTAACGAAGCATTTCATACATGAAAGGGGTCTCCGAAGCCGTAGCCAGATCCCTCGCGCCGCTCGGAATGGGCGTTGTCCGCAGGCTCGACTCAACAATCCGCCGACAAGTGATGCGGCCAAAAGACCCGATTCCTAAGCAGGAGATGTCGGCCGTTGTCTACCAACTTCAATGCAGCTGCGGAATGTGTAACTACGTTGGGGAAACCGGCCGACGGCTGCAAACGCGCATGCACGAGCATAAGTTGGCCGTGCGAAGGTTGGACCCAAAGTCGGAGGTAGCAACCCATGCCGCCCAAATGGGACACGTCTTCAACTTTGACGCCGTTGAAATTGTGGGCCGAGTTGATGATCACACGGCAAGGCAGGTGCAAGAAGCCTGGATGTCCACAGACTATTCTGTCAACCGCCACATCAATTTATCTCCCCCTTATATGGTTTTATGGACATTCTTGACGGGGGACAGTCACGGTGCGGGACAGTCGGGGCCGTCAGTTATCGCCGTGGGCGACGAAGATGGGCGGGCTTCAGGTCACGGAGACATGCGGGTCGGATGCAGCCACATAGGCCGCATTGGCGGGCCAGGCATCAAACAAAGTGCGTCATAAAAGGAAAGATGTGTGCATGACTTCTCAGTCTCTGAAGATGAGTAGAAGAAACGACTACCCGGAACGCCAGACCTCAAATACACCTCTCCCGGCGAACGCCTCCTTTTCTTTTTGATACACCACCTGGGAATCGCATTTTCACTATTACTGATGGCTGATTGGTTTGCTGGTGATAGCGAGCGTCCTTTTTAAAACCCTGAAGTGAGAGCTGATAGGGAAGTGGGTATGAGTCCAGCGGCCTGACTGTATCGATAAGTCTTGAGATCAGTTCCGATTTCCGGCACTTAGTCTTAAGTGCTGGCTTCCACCATCCTCCCAAATCCCGTTTCCGCCATTAACCCCCCACGTCCTAGCTATTGTTTTACACATAAACCCACTAACAGCGCTGTGCAACTGAAGCCATTGTAGGGAGTGTAGCCTGTAATTTACACCTATTCACTTGCCAAACTGCTTTCTGATATTGAGGCACCCCTGTCGTGCCAATAAGAATCCTATTTTCTTCCAAAAGTGCTTTCGCGGTCTGGATGCGTATGCACCTGGAGGAGACAGGGGAATAAGAGCAGGTTACCTGGTTAATAGGTTGCCTATTTTCTAGGCTCTGCAGCAGCAGTTTTGTATGATGAGTGACGCATGGGCAAATTGGATGCTGGACTCAATTCATCCAGCTAGGTTAATCCGACTGCACACGCCTGGGATTGCCTGGGGTTTTTGAGTCGACAATTAAGCCACTGCTTGCGGCTGCTCACGCGGATGTCTCCGCAATCACATGTTTACAAAAAGCGTTCTAATAGGATCTGGTGCAGCAAACGTCGCGCTTGGACGTTGGGTAAGGCGAAGGCTTAATTTTTATTCTGCAACATTGTTTGGCTGCAGTACAGGAAGCACCGACAGCTTGGAGACAGCAACGACGGGTTGACACAGTCTGGACAAGTCGGTCTAGTTTAGACAATACTGACCAGCGGTCTTTACACGCGGATCCTTACTGGTCAAAGAAACACCCAACGGACGACCCACATAGTAAACAAAGGCTGTGAAGCATCAGTCGTAAACGAACTGGTATTGACACATCTGCCTGATGACGGCGAATGTGCCGGAAATAGCGTAGTCTGGGTCGGCAATACTTCCCGGTCCGCAAATTATTGTTAAAGCATTGACCCACCAACATATGTTTAAATCTGAAAAAGTAAGCACCCGTTCGACTACCTAGTCTCCAAATCTGAAGCCGGCCAATCGGCATGATTGCACAGATCCTCCACAGGACCCTGCGACTGTCTGACAGGTGAAACGGGTCCCATAGAGACATCTCGTTCAGAGTTGGTGCAGCGACTGCTTACATAGCGAGCCAACTATTTCGCCATCTCTTCATGTAGACTTAAATCCCGCTCTTCTGGGGTCGGCGACCGTGAATGTCCTGCCGTCGAGGTTAGAAGACAAGAGTGACTCTGATTTCCCTTGTCCCTGAAACACATGCTGGTTATGTATTGAGTTAGCTTATGAAGAATGTTATGAACCGGTCAATTATTATGTCTGTCCTGTTCAGAGCAGGACTCACTGATCTTCTCTGCTGTATTGTATTAATATGAATGTGCCTCTAAAATGCGCCACGCAGTAGATGTGCTGAACAAACATAGGGGCTAGATCGGAATCTGGCAGACGGTGTCGGAATGCACAGCAAAATAAATTTCAAAACTCCGGGTGTGAGGGTGTTTTGGGCAGGCTCAGTTACGGTCTCACGTCGCGCACATTGGAATTCCAAACGCCCACCCCCCATACCATTTTGGATGTTAGCTAAAGCCCTGGTCAAGTGTTTCTTGTGAACCGGGGAATGTGATGGTGCATTTAAGTGCAAGCCCAGCCGTGCCAACCACCAGCGCCAACTCCTACTTCTTGTCTTCTTGACTATGCCACGACACCATACCTCGATGAGAGAGGGGAGTGCGATAGATGCTGTGCAAGTCCACTGCTTCTCTAAACTGCTTCACCCACAACTCCGGTTCCAGCTCTTACTCTGCCATGAGGCATACGGTGGACATCGCTGTTGACGACGGTCGAACTGTCGGTATAAATGCAAAGGGCTGACTTGCCGTGAGCAAAAAATATCGCCGTCATATTTGCGTCAGACATGGGAGCCCCAAGTTGGGTAACAGGTGAGCGGCGACCACAAACGTGCCGAAACAACTGAAGTGTCGCAATAATTTGGTAAATAGCAAAGGATACCTAAGGGAAACTACGACGCCAACGGGGAGACTAAAACGACAGTGAAGGGTTTCAATGGCTTGAACATATTCGGTAGTATCTTTGATTCTCAAGAGTCCCCGACTATGGCATATGATTGGACATCAGTATTGCTAGTCCTGTTGATGCAGTCGCCATGCTACCGCAACTCTTTGAATGTTCACGGCTCCCCCCCTCATCACGGATCGTTGCACGTGGCGTGCTGACTCTTCGATGGCCGACATTCGCGTCGTTAATTGCTGCAATTTCATCATGTGCGTTGTTACAAACGCAGTTATGTAAGGACGCTCTATCATCGTGTCGAAACGTACTGCCGTAAGCCGTAAGACAAGATTGCCGAACTACAATACCTCCGACGGGTATTCAAAGCCAATGGCTACCCGCGCATCTTCGACGGCCGGTGCATACGCAAAAGGGACGAAAGACCTAACTGCACGGACACCAAATCTTGGCGGACACTTCCGTTTGTTAAGAACGTTTCGGAAGCTGTCGGCCGCCTTCTCACACCACTTGGAGTTGCAGTTGCACACAGACCCAAGGCAATTATCAGGCGTCAGTTAATGAAACCGAAAGACCCGCTGCCACGGCTGGAAATGTCCGCAGTCATTTATCGGATCTGGTGCAGTCGCGTTTAAAGCAACTAGGTTGGGGAAACCGGAAGTCAGATAGGGAAGCGAATGGTCGAACACGCTGCAGCAGTGTGGAGAAATGACGCCAGCTCTCAAGATGCGGCTCATTCGACGAGGTCCGGCCATACATTCAATTTCGAAGAGACCAAAATTCTCGCAAGAGGTGACAACCGCGAGCTGCTTGAGTCATGGTTTACTGGTCCCCAGTCCACTAACAAGTGCAACGATCTTCCCGTTCAATACACCGTGCTGAGACCTTGTCTAGGCTGAGTAATGTGCCTTGCGGGGAGCGCACAGGTGAACATTCTTCCCAACACCAGGGTCAGCGCGTCAGATGGTCGAGCAATCCCCACACCTACATCCAAAGCACGTGATGGAATTGCAGCAATTAACGACGCAAATGATGGCCATCAAACAATGATCAAACCACGTGCAACGATCCCTGATGGGGGGGGGGGGGAGCCGTGAACATTCATAGGTATGCGGTAGCATGGCGAATGCATCTTATAAATGCTGCAGCCCATGTGCATGAAACACCCGTATCTGCTGTTGCCTTGGATGATTGGTTTGAGCAAAAATCCAAAACGTCGGGTAAAGAAAGCTCTTATTTCAGCAATCGTATCTCCTTCCTCAGGTCCTGTTGATAGCCGACTGCACAACTATTCAGGCATTTCCTAATTCTTATAAGCCTTCTTGGAATCAGCATGCTCCTTTCCATGAAATTTTGTTGGATTCATTGAACCACCCGGGGTTTGGGTGTGGCTTGTTGACGGTGGCCGAAACTACCACCCCTCCCTGAAGTCAGCATGCATCGCGCACCACCTACGAGTCATTGTGTGACTACCACTGTTTATCCTAGATGGGTTTGGCCAGCAGCGGATAACTGTCAAAACCGGTGATTCTTCCATTTATGGTTCAACCACCATGAGACCGTTAAACTTTTACCCCCGAACCTGGCGTCGGACAACAACGGCCGAAAGAGGAGTCAGTCGTGAGGTAGTAGTATATTTGAAAAGAAGTCAGACCCAATTCATAGCCAGCTTGCCCACATCCTTAACCATTCACTTGAAAGACTACCAGGCGATGACCAGCATCCCCGGTCTGGAGCACGTACATCTAGTCGATAAATTGGAAGTCAATCAGGTAGGGCGAGGAACCTCCCATCTTCTCTGTTGCTCCAAGACTGCGGAAGAACTCCTCCATGGTACAGGGCCGTTGAATACAGATTTTATCCACTAGACGGAACCAAAGTATCCAGATTGTCTAAAATTGGATGCAGAACAGGAGGTCATTAGTCATACCCAGGCTAAATACTGCCGAGGAGACTTCATTCAACGAAAATAAAGAATGTGTTTATTGTAGCGATTCTACCGTGGTTCCAGCTACAATGCTGCACCTCTGCTACATACTTCCAGTCGTTAATTTGATATTCTGAGTCACTATGTAGTCCTCCCATCGTGTCAGAGCGACCTTCGAAACTGAGAAGCCCTGTTCGGTTTTCGGCCAATCACACCTATAGAAAGTGGGTCTACTGCTGTTCTACTTACATGCATTGATAGTGTGTACCGTATCGCGATCGGTGTGCGTCCCTCTACCATATTTGTTTATATATATAAGCACATATCGAGGTAATAAATTCAGAGGTTAGTAAGTGCAGGGCATGGAATTAAATATTCGTGACATAACCTTTTAAAGTCGGACGCGAAATGCCGACGAACGTTTGGGTTGAAGACAGTCAAGCACTGTGGAATACCCACATCATGTTCATTTGGAAAACAGGGAGAACTACTAGTAGTATGCATTTTTATGACTGGTAGTTGTATTGTTCTCCTGACTAAATGTCTAGCAACAAGTTCTTCTAACGCTTCTGCCGCTGCATAATGCATCTATGTACATATAAGTATGCATACGTATATGATTATCCGTTGAACATCTGTGTAATTATTAGTGCGAATGTCGAAGTTAATCGTCAGTTTGAACCATAAAAAAGAATGTTGAGCTCCTTAATGCAAAATGTTTCTCTCCTATATAGTTATTGGTTTCTAGATCTGTACATCTGCAGATATGGAAGTTGCGACTGCAGGTGGCAGGCGGTATTCCCGCTGAAGTCTTTAAGTCGTGCGTCATAATTCTGGTTAAACATACATGGAGAGATTAGATCAGTTCCGATGACTGGGGCTCAGTTACCTCTTCCGTATGCGGCATTCGTATTCGTGCCCTAGTGTCTGGGACGAATAACTGACCAAAACACTACGCCAGTTTTAAATCAACAATTTGAACGTTTTACTACGACAGACTGTGGATTCAAAGCATCTGCGTGACAAACGACATGGAGAAACTGAAAAAAACTTCAGGTAAACCCAAAAAACTACACGGATGCTATTCATTTATCTGTAGATAATTCTGATGTTGTCCCCTACTGCGTGACATGGAAAAGTTGAAGGAACTTACAGAACACTCGGCAAACATTTTCTTTGCAAAGGCACGCTCGATCTGTACGCGGATGGCAGTGATCGCTCCGCGCCGATTTGTTCGGAGTACTTGGACAGTCTCACTCTGATTAACGTCACAGTGGAACTTGCAGAACATGTCTCTCATCATCTGGAAGCATTTTGAGTGTCTGAAAGTAAGTAGGTAATAAGTTTATAGGAATGTTGATAAATGAAAGAGACCACGACAGGGTTGCAGACCAAACATGCGTAAACAATTTACTGGGGTAACGGGATTGTTATCTCGGATTGCGGATTTCTGATAAGCATTAAGCTGCCCTAACAATCGACTAACCGTGGTATGGCAATGAACTAAAGGAACAAACGAACATTGCACAATCTTGTCGCTTTATTACTAATCTGTTAAATAGAAAAAATCAAAGTAGGCGGAACCACAGTCCATATCATACATTATTTCAATGGAAAACCGTGAACAAAAAATTGCAATGGCAGCCTCAGCGAACCTTAGGCTAGAAGAAGAGAGATACACTTCTCAATGTAACGGAGATTTGGCTGCATGATCAGTAAAAATCGACAGCAAATTTAAGCAAATTTCTAAGATATAAGCCCTAGTATTTGGATGTCGGTCAAAGTTAATCAATGGAAAATTAAAATATCCACCAGGGAATCGTCCTAGTGGCAAACATAGCCAAATTTGAGGCCGAACATGTGATTTACATCACTTCCCTCGCAACCCAACACTAACGATTTTGATCCGAATGGACGTAAACTTTTTAAACACAACGGTTTCTCATCAGGTGTCGAGTGATATTCGTAAGTAATGATGAAGATTTAAGTCTCCTCACTGCACATGAATACCCAGAATCTACACGTGCAGTTTTCAGAAATGATAGCAAAAACAACATAAATTTCAGCCAATATATGGACTTGTTTAAACAGTGACTTGGTCAGATGTTTTTAGGTGCAAGATGCGTTATCATTCACATGCTACGGGGTAAATTTGAAATTTATTTAATGTAGATAAATCGGAACTGAACTAAATCTATACAGCCAACTGTAAAGCTCAGAATATGTTTGTTTGCAATCAGGCAGTATGTAACTGAATTTCTGAGAACACTATCTACGATTCGCCAAAAAATTGTATCATTCCAACTCACTTGCCCATCCAGTATTCTGCACGACTTAGACCACTGGTAACCAGTACTATCTGATCAGTGCTGCAGCAGCTAGTATGATTGACATTTGGGCAGTGAGATTTAACGATTGCGTTTGTAATAGCTGGCTGCGTAGTGTTATAGCACATAAGTTGCAACGATGTGTCGCAGGCGCCGCGCATAACACAGCTGGGAACCACAAATTGGACGAGACCGACCAGTAAAGAGAGCACATAGAACATTGAGTTGGCCCGCATTTTCTAAAAAAAGAAATACTTATATGGTCCATCGAAGGACTGAACAAAGTAAAACTTATAACGAGCGCAAAAACTATTTAGTTTATCCCCGAAACAACTTGAAAGCAAACAATCGTGTTAAAGATCTGCTAGAAAAAAAACTGCCCAACCAGTTAAGATTTGCATGACCTTCTTTTGCTCCTCGGTATGAAGAAGCAAGCAATTTGGTTTAAATCAGGTGGAATAACGGGATGTAAAGCAACAGTAGACAAGTGTCCATTGACTACACTGACAAAAATTGTATTCATGCACAATATAAACACCCAAATGGCACGTATCGAGTGACATTTTGTAATGTGCAGGTGTTTCTGGTACTATACTCGCTTGAAAATAAGTGCATCTCTGAGTTATGAAGGGAATGCGACTATTCAGTTATAGATAATTTTGGCGGCTGTTATATGCGAACTGGGCCTTGCAACTCTTTCAGTCATGTGGCTCACACATACTCCAGCAACGCATAATTAAACCGTGAGGCAAATTTCAGATAAAAATATACGCCGAATGAATTCATGATTAGTACTAATCCTGAAATTTATTGGCTAGATCCACAATGAATGAAGTATCTTATCTAATGGGCCGATATGAAGTTCAAAGTCATTATGGCAATGTAACGTGTGGAAATTAACTTTAAATTGGTCATATTGGTCCAAGGCTCTGCCTGTATCCCTCATTTATACTGAATTAAGTGACTTATGACAGATACCAATATTCTAGATCTATGAGATTAGGACGAAATGTGCTGCTTACTAATAACACACAGGGCAAAGAGACACACGCATGGCCTATCTTCAAATATAATAATAGCAGGAATGTTCCTTCAAAATTTAAATCCCTACTTTCGAGAATTAAGAACCAACCGCGCCACACGCGTACGCACTTGAATCCGTGGTCGCGCGTCGCTTTTATAAATGTGTTCTGTAAGATCATTTAACTAATTAACTAAAACGACTTGGTAAAGTCCTAGTCAATGATTACGACTGCCACTAAAATCTGTTGGCTTACCGGCTATTTCGCTGATATTTGTACGAATATGAAGACCTTTCTAACAAATGCCGCAGTGGTCAGCAGAAATATGCGATGGGGTACCTAATGGGACGCAGACAGCAGGGGAACGGTGTGCGCCAGCGAGATTGTCTGGCACTTTCTAGGCAGAGTCATGAATCTGTATAAGGACGATTCGAATTTGTGAAAGGTTTTGGATAAATCCGTTGATGGCTCGATTAAGGCAGCTTTATTCAGACACTTTCATTCCATGAACACTGCGCGTATTCATAATGTGTGTGGACATCCCAAAACGTATTTCCATGTTTTTTGTTTTTCACGGTTTTAAAGACTCTTTGCACTTTATTACGAAACATGGTGTAAAACAAAAAAGTAACAAACAGCTTTTTGTCAAATGCAAATTTTTCCGCCGGTATCACCTCACTTCGTATTCGGTGTCATGTAGACTGTAGAAATCATTAATGTAGAGTGAAGTTTGAGGCCTTTTGCGACTGCCAGCCCTCCGCGTCTGTCACGCTGTCTTCCTACATTCGGCGACTCCCCGCAAGCAGCAATCTTCTCTCTTCCTAATCTGCTGTAGAGTCCGGTGTTGACCATGGGCAGTTTTCACCGGAAGTGCAACATATTTTGGTGTTCACTTTTGGCATTCTTATGGCCCCGAAACTTACTCGAGTGGCCAAACAGCTTAGGGAGATGCACGGTTTTTCCAAGCTCATCACTTTCGACACTCTCGACTTCCTCATCTCCTCCTGCGCATCATCTATCGCAGTTGAAGATCAGGCTTTCCAAGCTAACTGATGATATAACTTCTCTTCAGAAGCAGACAAGTTCTCCCTCATCTCAGAGCCAACGGAAGTCGTTCATCCCGCATGTCCAGTCTGCACATTTAACCCATTCAAACATGGTCACCACCTGCTGCTACCACACAAAGTTTGGGGCTAAAGCCCCTTGCTGTAGCTCTCCCTGCTCCTTCACTTCCATGCAAGGCAGACGTGTAAAACGGCTCAGACCGAAGGTTAGTGCAGCCAATCTTCCTGGCAGCTATGACGCTGGTCACACAGTTTGTGTCCGCGACAGCTTGAATGGCAGTCATTTCTTGGTTGACACTGGTGCCCAGCTAAGTGTCCTTCCACACACACCGGCTGATCGTTGGTGCCCCAATCCAGCCCTTTTCCTACAGGCTGTCAACACATCGCCGATTACCACCTTTGGCACATGTTCCCTCTCTCTGGAACTCGGTCTCCGGCCTCTTTTCTCTTGAATCTTCTTCGTTTCTGACATCGCCTGTATTATTTTCGTTACAAATGTTCTCGCCGCTTTCGCTCTTCTGGTTCACTGTCTTCGGTCCCATCTACCAGACAAGACCATCAAACTCACCGTCCGGGGCATCTTTTCCTTCGACCCTTCCCGTCAACTCGCCGTTATGGACCCTTGACACGAGAATCAATTACGACAACTCCTCGCCAAATACCCGGTCCAGTCATCTCAACTTTAGCAGTTATATTGCATCACACGACGTTCTTCACTGCATCCGGCTCACTGACCCTCCCGTGTTTTCTCGGTCCCGCCGTCTCGCGTCTACACGACTGTCTGCTGCCAAGACTGAGTTCGAGCACATGCTTCTGATGGGCATCATCCGTCAGTCTGAAAACCTATGAGCCTTGACCCTCTACATGGTCCTAAAGGCCGCCACGGTTGGATGGTGCCTCTACGGTGATTACAGGACCCCAAACAACTTTTCTTTCCCAGAAAGCTACCCTGTCCCGCAAACACAGAATTTTTCCGGTGCCCTATTCAGGAAATGATAGTTCTGGTCCGTGCCTAGCTAGTCGGCTTCTGAGCTCTGGTCATAATGGCTTTTTACCTAGACAATCCTGCGAACTTTGCCACTTGGCATTTATTAATCTAATCACTTCTCTTTGTAATGAGCAGCAGTCAGTGATAGTTATCTACTTGGATCTTAGCAAAGCCTTTGACAAAGTGCCCATAGACGTCTTTCGGTAAGATCGGAAGCTCTCGGCATCCGACCTCCTCTACTCGACTTCATTAAGTCCTATCTATCCAACCGATATCAGAGGGTCATGGCTGGTAATAGTTGCTCGACACCTCACTCGATCACGAATGAGGTACTTCAGGGCACGGTTCTGCGTCCGCTACTCTTCCTTCTTTACGTCAATGACTTTTCGAATGAAGTCAGAAATTCACAAACTTCTATTTATTTCGATGACCTCAAGTGTATTTTTCATACTCTAAGGGCACCGCAAGTGCTTGCGTTGAGGAAATTAATGCCTATTTACTAGGCTTAGGCAGGTGGAGTTCTACATGACATACGGAGTTTTCATCGTCCAAGTGTAGTCTTATGTTTTCTGGTCCTGCCAAACCTTTAAACTCCTTACTTTTTCAGAATAACCCACTTTTAGAATGCCTCATCATAAGGGACCGGGGTTTAAGCTATACTAATAAGCTATCCTTATCACTTCATGCAATTAGAATCCATGCCAAAGATGCACAGATATGTGGATTCATATAGCAGACTTTTCCTTCCGGAAATGAAGATAAGACATTATCAAGTTTTTGTTCTTTCTGTCATTGAGTGCTGCTGTGCGTTTTTGGATTGTTGAAAGCCTATGACCGTAATAACATCGAAAATGTTCAGAGGGGTTTTCACGCGGAAGCTCTTCTCTTGAGCTTCATCCGGTATTTCTTATACTCATTGATGTCAGCTAGCGAAGATTACGTTTTTGTAGATTACACTACCCAAAGCTGGTCTTTGCTTCCTATTTCTCATTAACTGTAGCCCAATCTTGCATACATTAACACTCTCACTCCAAGAAATCGGTCTTATGCCGCGCGTAACTTTTAAATGCCGATTCCGTAACCTCTGTTCATTACATTTTAACGCTCTCTCTTTTGCATCCAAATTTGCCTTCCTTTGGAATTATCTTCCGCCAGAACTTTGGTCGTCGCCTAAGTTGTCGGTGTACATCGGATTGTATAAAGTCACTGTTGGCCGTCTCATTCCCTTACACTCAAATCATGACTTTGAGAAGCGTCCCCTGGGATTTAATGGTAAATCAAGGGGCAGCCTTCACTAATATTTTTTCAACTCATTGCTTGTAATTGGCTACTAAATCCAGTGTTATTACTCCTCCCAGCAGAGATTATTGTCACAGTCCTTGATGTCATTTCTTTTCGACCCCAAGCGATCTATCGATGATCATGGCGGACTCCTCAGTATTCGCCATCTACTAGTAGTTTAGGCGAACAGAAAAAAGGTCTCATGCTCGAAACTCCCTCGCTCCCGCCTCGGCTGGACTCGAAACGGACTGTGACCGATCACGTCTGGGTTCTTCTCGTCTCGCAACTTTGACGCAATCAACCTCAACCTGTGTATGAGTTCTGCCTT